GTTGAGTCAAACTTTATTAGTTATCTAATTTATTAAAGTGGTGTATAAACCCTGTAACAATCATTTAAACTACATAGAAAATACATAGGACTGGAGAAGCCCTTGCTTCGACATAAGCAGGGTTGGTTTCTTGGTGAGTCTTTTGAAAAAGCTTGTTAACATGAACAATTGTAAAAGGAGACATAAGGCTGGGGTTAGCTCAGTGGTGGAGACTTGCCTAGCATGCTCAAGGCCCTGGATTTGATTCCCAGCACTGCAAACAAAGAAACAAAGAAATAAAAGGCATATATATGCCTTAGTCATCTTGTTCTGACTTCAAATGCACAAATGCACATCAGGTACCAGTGTTTCTTTGGGTCCCCTTCAACAACTCCCATCCACAGTGAAAACCCCTTCTTTCTTGGCATTACTGTCTCATAACTGCACCTGCCAAATACAACCAGAGTCCATGGTGAGACATGACTTGGACAGCTCCTGTTGAGCTCACTCACTTTCCCATGGTCCCACTGGCTCTCTGCTCTGTGGCTCCCACAGTAATGGATCATGGAAAATAGAGAGAACTCCAGTCTCCTGGAATGAGGCCAATATCTCTCTGGAGGGAGGTTGTCATTTCTCAATGATGTCAGTTGGCTTTTCTTCCTTCTTTCCCTCATTCTGTGCAAAGAGCCGGAGGGTTTTTAAGCAAGAGGATATTTATTCTCAGGACAAAATGAGCATGCTTGCATTTCTATAGGCATGGTCACAGTAGCCAATGTTTTCCTGGGCTGTGGTCAGTCACCAAGGTACAAAGAGAGTTTCACATGAACTAATAGAGGGGCCCTGATGGGCAAAGAGCAGGCACAGCTGGACTGCTAGAAACATCCACTGATTTTCCGCTCTTCTCCAGAGGACTGTTTGTTTCAACTAGAGAAATGTTAGATGTCAGTCCTATACGTGCACAACCAGAAGTGGTTCTTGGATTAAACATGGGTGGGCAGGTGTGAGGTGTGCATGTGTGTTTGTGTGTGTGTGTCACTGTCCGCTCTTGGCTGGATTATTGCAGTGGGCTTCTAACTGGACTCCCTACTCTGACCTTGCCTGACCTCTTCCAGTCTATTCTTCACATAGTAGGCAGAGTGCTTTTTCTAGAACATACACCACCCCTCCATCCAAATCTCTCATCTCATTCTGAGCCAAAGGCAAAGTCCTTACAGTAGCCTACCAGGCCCTACATGATCTGACCCCTTTCCACTTCCCTGAGCTCATCTCCTGCCTCTCCCCATGCCAGGCATATGGACCTCTTTGCTATTCCTCAAACCACCAAGCATGCTCTCACCTCAGGGCCTTTGTACTTGCTGTTTCTTCTGCCTAGAACACTCTTGCCAAGGTAGCCTCCTGGTTTGCTTTCTCACTTTCTTCAAATGCCACCTTATAGGTAAGCCCTTCTCCAACTGCCCAATACATGGTAAGTCCCCTACATCCTGACCCTCTATCCCCTTCACCCTGATTTTTTTTTATAACACTTATCATCCAACACACATTCTTCCTTTCTTGTTTATTTTTTATTTCATGCCACTAGAATATAAGCTGCATGAGGGCAAACAGAATTCTATTTCAGTGTCTAGAACAATGTCTGGCATACAGAAAGGGCTTAACAGTTGCTTTTTGTTGTTTTTTTCTTTTAGTGCTGGGGATGGAATCCAGGGCCTGGTGCATGCTAGGCAGGTGCTCTACCACTGAGCCACACCCAACCCAGTAGGTGCTTCTTGAAGGAGGACTGGCTCATTCCTGCTGTACAGCTGCCTGCTATCTGGGGGGCATGGGCCTGAGGCCTTGTCTGAGGGCTGAAGGCAGTGGAGCAGTGCTGCTCAGTGTACGATATGTCCGAGAGGCCCCCAGGGGTTGGGTAAAGGGTACATGTAGCGGGTGGGAGTGGGTACAGAATGCTAAGCCTATTGGGATAGTGAGCTGGCCCACCCTTCTTGATGAGTGGCCTTGAGCCTACTAGGAAAGGGGAATGTTTGTCTCCTGTCTCGGTCCATGGCTTCCCTGACCTGGTGTGGCCTTGCTAGGTGCTCTGAGAAGGGGACTAAGGGAACCTCAGTGATTTTGAGCCCCTACCCTACAAGGATAAGTTAGAGGCAGGTCCTGGTCTCAAGTCCACAGTAACAATTGTTTCTTAAGTTTCTTCCCTCACAGATGTCAGTTCCCCTCCCCCCATGTCTCATAGCGCCTGAGTCATGGGTCAGTGACGCAGGTGGTGGTGGGGTGGGGGCAGTTGAGCCCATTGATCAAGGCTTGAGACATCCTCCCCACTAATCAACAAGTTAATAACATCTTCAATGATGTGGAGGTGGTGATTAATGAAGCAGTCGGCTTGCCCTGTAATTGGGGAGTAGACTTGGAGGGCAGCGCCATGATGGATAGGGCTGGCTGGTGAGGAGGTGGGGGCTGGTACCTGGCCTACATTGAGGGGCCACCCTGGGTTCTGTTTACTTTTACTAGGGAGGTAAACAGGATAGTGACTTCTTCAAAGGTTGTACACTGAATCCAGGCCTTCCCCCCGGCCCCCTGCCGTGTCCAGGGGCTTCTCCATACTTTCTCCTCTCCTGCCATCTGACCCTCCTCAGACCCACACTCCACAAGGCTTGGTGGGGGAGACAGGGATGCTGGATTTCTTGTGCACATCTCACAAGCACAAGCTCCTTCACCTCTCTCTGCCTGGGGGCCAGCACTCTAGAACCCCCCTCACAACCCTGGCCAGTGCTGCACGGTCAAAAGGGCACCCCCCCTCCAATATCCTTGTCCCCTTCAGCCTGCAGGGTCCTTGCTAGGTCTTGACCCCTGAGATGGTGGCTATCCTAATGAGCCCCTAGGCTGCCCTCTCTCCATCCCCAGTGTGAGCACCCATCTTTCATCTTCCCATGGGGTTTGGAATTCTTTTTGGAGGACAGAGGCAAGAAATTCTTTTATTTGCTCTGTCTCCTCTCCATACTGGAGACAGGCTTGTCTCTCCTGTATCTGTTCTGGGAATTCTAAGAGTAGGGATCCCCATGCCTTTCCTCTGAGACTGGGGTTCCTGGAGGATGGAGCTGTGCCTTGCCCCTCAGACGCAGGCTCCCAGGGTGTTTCTTGGGTTGTGCGGGGGTCCATGGGCCCCAACTGGCTGATAAGGATCCATTTCCGGAGTGTGCAGGTGATTGAACCCATAAAAAGATGACTGAGGGCGCCTTGGTCTCTCCATCTCAGGAGAGCTCTAAAAATAGCACCAATAGCCATCTGTCCTGGTGGGTGGGGGGAGGCAGCCCAGGACCAGGGACCTGGGCAAGATGGCTCCTCCTGCCTCCGTGGCCCAGAAGCAGTGCAGGCTATGCCGGGCCAGGGAGAGGGAGTTGGAAAGGGCTTTATGGGAGTCCACCAAGAGCCCTCTCTCTTCTTGGTGGGACGGGCAGGTTTGAAGGGGTTGGCAGTCTAGGGCCTTCCTCTACCCCCTCCCATCATGGGTGATCTCTCAGCGCTTCAGTTTCCTTACCTGTAAACTGGGGCTGATCTGAGCTCATAGCATTCAGCGGTAGGACGTGTACTATCCTGTGCACAGCAGTGCTGAAAAAAACGTTGGTCCTTTCCTCTTTCCTTCAAAGGCTCTGGGTGCAGACCTGAGCCCCAGAGGCTGTAATGTTCTGGGGACAGTGACATGTGCTTGGGCAACTTGGCACCACTCAGCTGCGGAAGACACCAGTGTCCTGAATAACACCTAGATGGGGGTGGGGCTTTGCCTTGGGAGAGGGCTCATGGCTGGACCAGGGTCTGTATGTGCTAGGTTGGATGCCTAGGTGACCCGTTCAGCTGCTTCTGGAGGGCTGCTTTCTGCCTCCTCCTGCCGTGCTCCTCAACTCTTTTTTTTTTTTTTGAGGGAAGATTTCACTCTGTAGCTCAGGCTGGCCTTGAATTCATGATCCTCTTGCCTCTGACTCCCAAGTGCCTGGTCTCCGCAGCTCTTAATGGAGAGCTTAATGTCCAGAGAGGCCTCTCCCCTAGGACATCAGAGAGGTCAGGAACCAAGGTCATATTCACCCTTTCTATTGGAATAGAAAGAGACTTCCCCAACAGGTCCTGTCATTCCTGGGTTTTTCTCCAAGGTGTTAAGGAGCAGAGGCTGAAAAGAGCTGTCTCTTGGAAAGAGGGGTCACAGGTCCCACAGGCTGGAGGGAATGTTCCCCACCCCCTCCAGGGACAGGTTAGGGAGGATGGAGTCTCATTCCTCTTCCTAGCGGCTCCTCCAGGAGTCTACATCCAAAGGCTTCCGTTTCTCAGGAGGCTAGACCTGCCACTGGAGGGCTGTGGGGTGAAGATGGGGGTTCAGGCAAGGGACCCTGTCTGAGCACGGCAGCTGCCCCCTCAGCTCCTGTGGGGTGGAGACATCTCATCCTAGCTGGTGTAAAGTCGATGGGCGGAGGGAGGAGGGAGGGCACTCCCTCCTGGCCTCCCCCTCCCTTTTCAGGCTGGGATATAAGCCCCGCAAGGAAGGCGCTGAGCAGAGGCCTCAGCTCGACCTTTCTCCAGCTTTCCAGCCCTGCCTTCCACCTTCTCCTCATCCCATCTTGCTTCTGGAGCTGTCGCTGTGAGTAGCTGTGTGCCTCAGAAATGGTCTGGTACCTAGCTATTTTGTGTGGAAACTGAGGCCGGGATGGTGGGAGCTGGGGCTGAGGGTCAGGAAGCTGGATGGGAAGGGGCCAGCAGAGGTGGGAGGAAGCCCGGGAACCTGGTTACCAGCATGGCCTTCTTCCTGCGTCTTCCTCTTTGGGCAATAGCGGGAGTGGGGAGGCATGGCTCTTTGACATGAGGAAACTGAGGCCAGAGATGGCACAGTGGGGAGAACACACAGCGAGCTGGTGGTTGGACCTTGGTCAGGTACCAGCCACCAGCCCTAGACAGGCCACCAGGGCCCGATGGCAGCCTCAGTCTCCCTCCGTCGAGGCTCGAGACACAGGACGACACACGCTCCACTTTCCCCTTTCCAGATGGCGACAGTGCGCCGGCCGTGGCCCGCCATGGCTGCAGTGCTGCTGACCCTGCTGGCCTGCCTGGGGGCTTTGGTCGACGCCTACCCCTCCAAACCCGAGGCTCCGGGGGAAGATGCCTCCCCGGAGGAACTGAGCCGCTACTACGCCTCCCTGCGCCACTACCTCAACCTGGTCACCCGACAGCGGTGAGCGCATGCGCGGGGCGGCCCGGGGCGCCCCCCCCTCCATCGGGAGGGGGGTCTGACCACGCCCCTGTGTGGCCCCGCCCCCAGGTATGGGAAACGTGACAGCTCGGACGCTCTACTCTCCAAACTGCTGCTCCCCGACGGCGAGAACCAACGCATCAGGTCGCGGTAAAAGCACCCCCTGGGCCCCCCTGACCACACACCGGCCCCTGGAGCGTGACCAGGCCCACGGAACCCCGTCCTGGAGCCATCACCTGCGACTCTCCCGGCCTCGCCTCCCCAGGTCCAATTCCCTTTCTTTCCCTCCTGCAGGCCAGAAGGCACCGACCCGTGGTGAAGACCCGCGAGGCCTCCTGGGAGATATGCTAATCACACCAACTTATCTGCATATTTGGTTCAGGGGTGGAGGCTCTCCGCCCATTTCTCGGTACCCCTGGCTCTCTTGGGGCTGGAGGAGTGTGTGTGGTCTTTTTCTGATCCCCAAATAAAGAGCAAATGTCACAGAAAAGGATTGCGTGCCTTTGTATCTCCTTTCCTGTCTTCGTGGAGATGGCATTGGTGGGAATGGACCAGGAGGTGTCAGGGCTAGAGGAAAGACTGGAGCCTAAGACAAAAAGCGCCCAAGAACAAGGCGGGGGCGGGATGGGAGCCCCCTCTGCTCCTAACCTGGGACTGGACAGCGCCCTGACAAGGGACCAGACAAAGGACTCTTGTGGAAGGAACTCTAAGCTAGAGGGCATGGGCGAGGGGGTGATGGATGGGAAGGCAGAGGAGCAGGAAGAGCGCTGGGGGTGGAGAACTGGGAGGGATAGCCCAGAAGGGTAGCTGTGGGAACTTGTATTTTAAATTTTTATTAGCATAACTGAATTGTAGTGATATTTCCGTACATGGATGTAAACAACTTTGGACAAATTCACCCCATCTATATTACTTTTTTTTGCAGCTCTGAGGTTTGAACTCAGGGCCTCATGCTTGCCAGGCAGGCACTCTACTGCTTGCGCCAGGCTCCAGCCCTAGAAGGGTAGCTGAAGATGGAGCTGTCTAGTCCTGCAAAGATGAAGACAGCAAGGGGGATGGACTTGGCCTCAAGGGGGCTTCCCTGAGGAGCTGTAGAATTACTTCCCGAAGCTGTAGTGACTCAAGGTGATGGTGGGGTGGTGGAGTAAGAGCCATTTGGAGGGTGAGCTGGCTGTGGAGGCGAGGAAATAGAGTATTTCTGAGGTCCCAGTTCCTGAGTAGGAGGAGCAATGGGAGTCTGAAGACCCCCTGTGCTTCATCATCAGTCCTCCCAACCTTGCTGAAAACACATTCAGTGCATTCATCACTAACTGTCCTTACTGGTGACAAGGCCATAGGGACCACCCTCCAGGGTTGCCCCTTCTACCTTCACTAGACATTGAGGTCTAAAAGTGCTGTGGGTGATTAACTGGAGTCTAACCTGAATCCCTGGACACTCTTCCTTTTCAGCTCCATTCTTCCAGGAAGCCCACCTTGATTGGTCCTGACCTGTGTTCTTCCAGCCCTCTCTGGCCATGCAACTCTCATGAGGTTCACTAAGACATCTGTCCATATCTGTGTGTCCTTCTTGGTCTGGGGGACCCCGAAGGAAGAGCTTGTGTCTCTCCCTCCTTTGTCTGTGGGCTCTCTCCTGGGCCTGGCTCTTTCTATGCCCGAGGCCTAGGCAGGTGACTGGGGGATGAGTGAGTAAACCATTGTTGCCCCAGACCCAGAGAAGGAAAGAAGGGCAGGAGGGCAGCAGGGCAGGGTGGCATCACTGTGAGGGACTGTTTGCACTGAGTGGCCCAGGGAGGAGAGGGGCCTCAGAACTGGCTCTGCTGTAGGTGCTGGAGAAGTCCCTGCTTGGACCTTACCTGTGCCAGGGGCCATGGGGCTCCCACATCCACCCTCCCAGTGCACCCTTCAACTTTCCTTTGGGTAGGGCCAGTGGGTGAGGTGGAAGAGGCCTGGTGCAGGTCACAGGCTGCATGGATTCAGATGCTCTGTGCCTTTGCCCAGGCCACTCACCCTGCCTGAAAAAGATCTGGTGGTGGTGGTAGGCACCTCCCAGAAGCTGGTCCTGGTTGTAGGGGGGAGTTAGTTTCCCTTACTCCCTCATTCCCCATTCCATTTTGCTTCAGTTCTTCTCTCCCCTTCACCCGGAGTGGGAGATGGGAGCACGTAGGCACTGACGCGAACTTTGTTCATTGTGTGGGTTGTGGGGCAGGGGCATGGGGGGCGTGTGTCATGGTCCCGTCTGTGGGTCTGCCTAGGGGAGCTGTGGTCAGACGCTAATGGAAGAGACACCTGGTATGAATTATATGCGTGGCCACAGACGATTTCTGCCCAAGTAAAACGTCTGATTGGCCATTAGTGACCTCTGTTCACCTCTTTTTCCCTTCGAGGAGTGTTGATCAGGTGCTTAATCCATTGCTGATCAACTCAACCAGTGTCAGAGCCAGAAGGAAACTTAGACACTGTAGTAACCATGACAATAGCCATAGCTACCTTTTTAAAACACTAATGCACTAGACAGTTACGTGTCTTACACACATCATATGACTAGGATATTAATTTGGCTTTGTGTGTGTGTGTGATTAGTAGGCTACATATGTACGTAGCCCTTTGAAAATTTTATTTTGGGACAGGATCTTGCTAAAGTTGCTGAGAGTGGTTTTGAGCTCATGATCCCTCCCACCGCAACCTCCCAAGGAGCTGGGATTATAGATGTGTACACAGAGGCCCTGCTGGATTTGTTTTTTCAGTGCCAGGGACTAAACCAAGGGCCTTGTGCATACTAGGCCAGTGCTGTTCTACTGAGCTACATCCCCAGTCTACAGAATTAACAGTGACTTTAACTAGGTGGAAGTTTGTCATATATAAAATGTGTCATTGGGAGCATTGGTAGATCTGCTACACGAGGCCAACAGAGAGCACAGGCTCCTATATTGTGGCTTCCTGTGCCCTCGTCTACAGGACTGACGATGGCCCACTAACCACCTCCGTCTTCCAGCCAATGGCAAAGGAGGGCAGGGGAAAGGATAGGCATTTTGATTACTACCTCATGTAATGAGCCTCCTAAAACTCAGGAGCTTAAAGCAACCACTTATTTCACTCAGGAGTTCATGGCCAGCATGGGGAAGAGCAGGCCCAGGCAGTTGCCTGTGGGCTCCACCAGGCTCCAGAATGCTCCCTCACAGTCTGGCAGGTGGTACAGCCGTTAGCCAGAAGTCCATCTGGGGCTGTTGACTGTAGTGGCTACATGTGGCCTCTCTAACACAGTCTCTTGGGGTAGATGGATTTACGTGGCAGCTGGCGCTCCCCAGGGTGGGTCCAAGAGAGCCAGGTAGAGGTTGCATTGCTGTACAGTAGTCCCTCTTATCCACGGGTGTGTCCCAACACTCCGGTGGATGTCTGAGATTGTGGATAGAACTGAACTGTACAAAATACATGCCATGGTTTCCCAATGGGTACATACATGTGCTAAAGTTTAATTTATAGATTAGGCACAGTAAGGTTAAAACAATAATGAATATTCTGTAATAAAAGCTATGTGAATGTGGCCTTATCTACTGAAATAGCTTACTGTACTGTCCTCATCCTTTTGTGATGATGCGAGGTGACCCAAGGCTTATGGATAAAGTGGGGTGAACGGTGCAGGTGCTGTGACAGTTAGGCAACTAGGTAAGAGTTACCAGATCACAAGTACTGTGATACCTCTACAGGGGACTTGATGGCCTAGACAGCTACTAAGTGACTAATGGGTAGGCAGTATATACAGTGGATACACTGGACAAGAGATAATTCACATCCTGGGTAGGATGGAGTGGGGTGGTGTGAGATTTCACCATGTTACCCAGAATAACATACAATTTAAAATTTATGATTTTTTTTTTGTGGTACTGGGGGTTGAACTCAAGGCCTCAAGCTTGCTAACTGGGTGCTTTACCACTTGAGCCATTCTATCAACCCTTTTGGTGTTGGTTATTTTTGAGATAGGGTCTCTATGCTTAGCCCAGCCTGACTTGTTTTCTCTCATAGCTGGGATGACAGGTGCACACCACAGCATCCAGCCATTGGTTGAGAAGGGGGATCTCACAAACTTTTTGCCTGGGCTGGTCTTGAACCACGATCCTCCCCATCTCCACCTCCCACGTAGCTAGGATTACAGATATGAGCCACTGAGGCCCAGCATGAATTGTTTATTTGTAACAGAAACCACAAAAAACAAAACCACAGATAACAGAGATGGGGTGGGGATAGGGAAGGAACTACTGTGGTAGTTTTCTGGGGCTGCCACACAAACCCAAACTGGGTATTTTAAAGGACAGTTCTGAAGGCTAGCAGTTTGAAATCAAGGTCAACAGGGTTGGTTCATTCAGAGAGCAAAAGGGCAACGCTCTGTTCCAGACCATGTTCCTTGGCTTGAACTTGGGTGTCTTCTCCCTTTGTCTCTTCACAGAATCTTCTTCCCATGCATGTCCATTTCTGTGTCATATTGGATTATTGGCAGATGGAGTCCTCAGGGTGGAATGAAGTGTAGACAGGGCCTAGGCTCCAAATTAGTGACCTGAGCTCTAAATCAGGGCTGAGTAGCTTCTGAGGTGTGTGGACAAGGGACTCAGCGTGTGTGTGTGTGTGCGTGCACGCGCGCGCGTGCTATCCATAGCCCAAAAGTTTTTCTAAGGGATAGGGGATCCCATGGGCTCTGGCATCTGCAGAGTTAGGCCCCAGCCTTCCCTCCTGCTGCTGCCACCCAGTTTGGGAATAAGACATTGACCTAAGTGTTAGGCCAGGCGGGTTGTGGTGGCACACACCGGTAGTCAACCAGGCAGAGATGAAGAAGGAGGATCATAAGTTCAGGACCAGCCTGGGCTACACTTCGGATTTGAGGTATGTGCTTTCCAAGCACAGAGCCCTGAGCTCAAACCCCAGTCCCACAGGAAACGGGAGGGGTGCAGCTTTGGACCTGGAGTTAGACCTGACCCCTTCTGTGACCTTAGGCAACCTCAGCTACCTTGTTGAGCCTCAGTTTCCCCACTGATATGTGGGAAGAGTAATTCCTGCCTTCCTCCCTCTACTAGGGTGACCTGTGAGGAAGGTTCTGGAATTTAGTTCCCAGTGAGGGGAGTTGCTGGGTCACTAACAGACCATAGCCTGCTCCTTCCTCTTTCTGACCTCAGGAACCTCATCTTTCACAGAGGCCCCGGTCCTCCTGAGGAACTTGCCATGTATGTGGGGCCCTTTCCATTTTCTCTTTCATCAGCCTTCGCCCTGTGGCTCCAGGTGTTTCTGAGATGCCTCACTCCATCCCCAGCACTGCTCAGTGGGCACCTTCCCTGTCTAGAGGGCATGGGGTTGGGGAGGCAGTGATGAAGCTGGTTTACTTCTGTGACAAGGCAGATGGCACCGACACCTGAGTCAATCCCAAAACCCATGATCTGTCTGGTGGGACTGGGTCCTGACATGAGTAGTGGTCAGAACAGATAACACCAGTCTCCTTGCCTGTGGGAGCCCAGACCCTTCCAACCAGAACTGGAGCCTGGCGCCCCCTGGTGGCATTCTAAGTTCCACCAGCTAAAGCTGAGGCCATCCTCAGCTTTAAAACAGCCAACAGCTGTTTTGCACATTAGAAAACCCAGGCCAGGAGCAGGGCTGAGAAAGAACAGCCTCCCCATTTGCTTTGTGGGATGCAAGTTGTCTGATCAGGCAACGCTTGTTATCAGAAGTTAGAGCTGAGAGAACAGGCAGAGCACTACTAGGTACTAAGCCACTCTTATCTGGAGGTAGATGTTACAAACCCCGCTTTATGGACAGGAAAACTGATCCTCAGAGAATCTAAAGCAATTACATTCTCAGCTCACACAGCGAGCCACTGGCAGGATTTGGGACGAGGTCTGACTGACCTCTAAATGGGGGTGGGAATACAAGGCAGTGGGGGGACACTGAGCAAATGTCTCCACTTCTGTGGGCCCCCTGTTTCTCAGCCAAGAAGCGGGAAGTGATAGCGATATTTTAACAGTCCCACTTAGGAAAAGTGTTGGAGTTAGACTTTGTTTCAAACCTTGGTTCTTCCACTGACTAGCTGTGCGATCTGAGATCAGATACTTACTGTCTCTGAGCAGATTTCAGTTTCTGAGTCTATAAAATGGGTTGCTGTTGGGATTTTGTGAGGTGACTGAGCTGGGAGAACTTCGGATAATTTGAGGCTTTACAAGTGATGCTGGTTTTTCAGCATTCCCTGGGATGGGACTCCGGGGTGGGAGGGAAAATGGCGACCAGAAGTTGGTGCTTCCATAATTAACTTCTGGTCGCCTCATTTAGCATGCTACACACCCATCAAATGGGTTTCTCCACTTTTGGATCTCCATTCCTTTCCAGTGGCCCAACGACCTGTTCTGGTTACACACAGGAAAGGAAGGCCTGAGTCTCAGCCTTCATACCCAAAGTCCTTGACCCGTAACCTCAATCTTGTGCCCTGAGGGAATTGGGTTGGTGACTTGGGTTGACCCTGGGCAGACCAGAGGGGCTGTTCAAGGCCAGCAAGCCAGAACCTTTCAGTTGTCCTGAAGTCCCAGAACCCTGCCTTTCATGAACCAAGCCTATTCTGGTGCCCCAAGGAGGATGGGGACACACAGGAGACTTTTATTGTGGTCCAGTTTCATTTGTTCTTCTGCTGGCCTGGCACCCAGAACACTGCCCCAGCCCCCTCCTGTCCCTGCCCCTAGCGCTGGCGTTGCAGGCACCAGGGAAACAGTGAGGGAGGTGAGGGCTGGGGAGTAAGAGAGGCTGACAGGAGGCGGGGACTCGGTGGGGAGGATTGAGGACTATAAAGGGGCACAGCCAAGGGCAGGTAGACCCATCTGCCTGAGGTACGTGCCCACTTGATCCAGGACCACCTGCTCAGGACTCAGGGTAAGTGGGTTCAGACTGCCCTGGCCGGAGTGGGGGTGGCACTTCGGGGCTGGGGCTTGGGATGCAGAGCAGGAGTTGGAACTTTGCAGGGCTGGGGCCTTGAGAGGCTTAAGGCTGTCCTCAGTTGCTCTGCATTGCACCAGCTTCATTTCACAACTCATCCTGTGTTCCTCATCCTGTAAGTTGGGGGTGTCCTCCTTTCTACCAGCCATTCCCTTGAAGAGCCACATTTCTGCCTCCCCAGAGTCCTCAGACCCTGGATGTCGTGAGTCTTGTGTGTCCAACCCTTCAGCCCCTTCCCTGCTAACATTCTAAGCCCTCTCTGGCTGAGCTCCAGCTGCTGAGCTGCTCATTGGAGAGAGGGAGAGAGAGAGAGAGAGAGAGAGAGAGTGTGTGTGCGTGTTCCTCGCTCTCCAGAGAAGTGCCCAAGAGGAGGGGGAAGAGGTGCTCTTGACCCCTTGCTCTGCCCCTTGTCCCCAGGCTTGGCTTAGAGAAATGGGTGATGGCTAAGGGTTGGGCAGGAGGATCTGCAGATGGGTTCTATTCTGCCTCATCTCTGCTCCTTGTTCCTCAGATGGCTGCTGTGTGTCGCTGCCTCTCCCTGCTGCTCCTGTCCACCTGTGTGGCTCTGTTGCTGCAGCCAATGCTGGGTGCCTGGGGAGCTCCCCTGGAGCCAGTGTACCCAGGGGACAATGCTACACCAGAGCAGATGGCCCAGTATGCAGCTAACCTCCGCAGATACATCAACATGCTGACCAGGCCTAGGTGTGTGTGAGAGAGGGAGAGATCCCAGCCCTGGGCTTGACCCCATCCCCATCCCTGACCCCAGCCCCTTCCATGCTTGCTCCTGGGGAAGCAGTATCTCTATTGAGTGACCTGGTCCATGTGCTGTGGGCGAGATGGGGCCCAAAGGGAAGTGAGGCAAGTGAGCTGGAACTTGGGCACAGTGCTTGTCACAGCTGTCTCTTCCCTCCTAGGTATGGGAAAAGAGACAAGGGGGACATGCTGGATTTCTTGGAATGGGACTCCCCCCATATGTCTGCCTCCAGGTGAGTTTGATGCTCTGCCCACTTGTCCAGCTCCCTGGGACTGAAATGGGAATCTGAAACAGGGGATATGGGCAGGAGAACAGCAGTCCAGGGCAGCCTTTCTGAGGGCACAAGGACTCCTCTTCTACCGCCAATTTCTGATCTCTTCTCACAGGGGGCTCAGCCCAATGGACTTGTAGGGTCACCTCCTGTCTCCTGTGACTATGTGGCAGTGCCAACTTAGCTCTCCCCTTGGTTCCCATGGCTCTGGCCAAAATGTGCTCCCTGCTCCCAAATGGACTAAATAAAGCAAGTCAAAATCATGGTCTCTGTGTGTCTGTGGATCTCAGTAGGGGCAGAAGGCCAAGTGCACAGGAAAGGGAGATGGCAGGGAAGAGAAGGAGAAAAGGGGACTGTTAGAAATGATCCAGAAAGTCTATAGACATCAGAGCCACTCAGCTCAATCAACCTCTTCTCTTCGAAGAGGGACAAGTTGTGGTTCAAAGGGAGGCAGGGACTCCCTCCAGGTCAGTGAGAAGTCAGTGATGTGGAGACTTGAGCTTGAATCTTCCTGTTGCAGTCTCTCTAGATGGTCCTGATCGTTGGTCTGATGCCAACCCTGCTACCCAAAGTATCCTGGCAATACTTTAATACTTTCCATGCCACAGCAGGAGGTGAAGAACTCACTTGTACTGAAGTGTCCTTGGCAACAGTCCAAAGGAATGGCTCTAGTGCTTAGGTACAGGGTGGCCTCAGAGTTGCTCTTTAGAAATTTGGAGAAAGGAGCCGTTCTGAGAGGTAGTGAACTCCTGGGCACAAGGATATCTTTAAACAGCTGCAGGAGGGGTGTAGCCTTCCAGGGAAGAGGCAAGGTTACCTGGGAGTTCCAGCCACTTCCATGAGTCTAATCTGTGGACGCCACACTCTGGCTCTTGGGGGTGGGGGGTGAGGACCCACACCCTACCTTAGCAGTCCCCAGTGGACTATCTACCCTTACCCTTATTGGGTACCCTGATTATGTGGGAATGGGGTGGTGTGTATGTGTAAGCTTGTCTCTCTCCCCTTTTCCTGTGGATAAGTGACAGTCATGGGGACACTGATCCCATGGTGATAGCAACATAATCATGTTTCTGTCTGGTGTGTGTAATGACTTGGAAGTGGAACCCGGCCCTAAGAGGCGAAGGGCTTCTACAGGACATAGATGCTATGCAAACGCTTTGCTCAAGTTCATTCCTAAATCCAAGGGGTGTTTGGGTGGAGGGGTGGTTTCAGCAAAACAGAGTTTGACTATGGATGGAGTCTGATGTTCCAGCATTTTCTATGGTGGCCTAGGTCATGGGTTTTCAGTGGGGAGAGGTATAGACATTTCCTAGAGGCAGGAATTAGAAACCTGCTCAATACATATTTGGGTGTGACAGGTGAGTGATGAGGGGAAGCTCTGCCCCTGACCAGGCCTCTCTAATGGCCACCTCTAAGGGACAGGCCCTGACTAGGCTCTCCCATGTTCTGATCACTGCTGACTGAGAGGATCCAGGAGGTCCCCTGCGCTCTGCTTCCCCAAGGGAAGTTTGCTTGTTCCTGTGCCAACAATGATAGCCCAGGCTGGCAGGAGTGGGTCTGGCTGAGATCCCTGCTTTGAGGCTCCTGGGACTGGCTTCTCCCTCTGGGAGTGGTGACTGTGAGTGAAGTGGGCAAAGGCCCTGTACTGAGGTTTTTCCCCATCGAAGGACAGGTCCTCCCTGCAAACACCCACAGAAATCACCTCGAAGTACAAGAATTTTGTTTTCTTTATCGTTCTCGCTGAGGGGTGGGGAGGAACCGAGGCCCCTCTCACAATATAAAGCAGTCAGTGGGTGAAGAGATCTGAATCAGGCATCTGGAGGTCAAGGCCCAGCCTGGAGAAGGAAGTCCCTCGGCCCTGGTATCTGACCCCTGCCCTCCCCATGCTCCCAGAAGCTTCCTTTCAGCCCTTGCCCCCTCCCCCCTCCCGCCCCCCCCGCCAGCCACGCTGCTCCCTGGTTCCGATTCCGAGTCAGGGACTGACTCAGTGGTGGTAGTGCCAGAGTCTCCTACCTGGAACACGGGGAGGAGGTCTATGTTTGGAGTCTCAGCGGTCGAGTTTTCGTGACATTCGGTGGGGGGAGTTTCGTGGCATGAGATGGGGAAAGGTTCGATGGCGGTTGTTTCGTGGTGTTTGGGGTTTTCTTTTGGCCTTCCTTAGGCGAGGGAACACGTGTTTGCAGAGATCATGGGGCCACGAAGAGCACGGGATGGGGTGTCAGATGTCTTCCCCCCCTTCCACTCCCCGTTTCCTCCGCCGGCCCACCTAACATTGAAGAACTTCTCCACATGCTTGCTGAGTTGGTCAAAGTTCACAAGCCAATTGGATGCGCCGGGCTTCATGGACTGCTGCACATGGACTGCTGCACATGGACTGCTGCACGTGGAGCTCCGCGCCCACAGTGCGCTCAGGCCGCCGCAGCAGCACTAGGCACACCAGAGCCAATGCGCACGCGCAGCGCAGAGCCGCCGTCTGGAGGGGGCGGGGCAGACAAGCCTAGGCGTCACGTGACGTCACGTGACGTGCGGGGGTCTGCACCGCGCACCCACAGGGCGTCAGAAGGCCAGGTGGGAAATCCTGCGTGCTGTGACCCTCAGACCAAGGAACGTGTCTGTCTCTGGGACATACACAGGTGCACGAGCGCCGTAAGGCACATCCTGGTGCTCAGGGAGGATGGTGCACATCTGGACACGCACAGTGATGCGCGCAAAGCGCCGAGGTGAAAGTGGACGGGGAGGCACGCGCTGACAGGAACACATGGCTTAGAGCCATCCGTCAGCTCCCTCAACGCCCTGACCTCTCCTGCACACTCCTTGCTCACCCCACTTCAGCCTCTTCCGCTTCCTTGCTGTTCCACAAAAATGCCAGACCTGTAGTTGACTGCCTGGAAGCCTCCTCCTCCAGCTCAGCCTCAGGCAGCGGCTCAAAATTCACCTTCTAAACGGGTCCCACTGTGACACCCCTCATCTTGCTCTACTTTATCCTCATTCCACGTTCTCACTTCTAAATGCTATATGTAGGATATGCGTTGTCTCAGTTCCTTCCCAGCCACAGCCCCTCCCCCCTCAACGTAAGTGCTGCTGCTGACGGGCTCTTTGCCTGCTTTGTCTGTTGATATAGCACCGGCACCCAGAGCAGTGCCTGACGCTTAGTAGGGTCTCAGTAATACACAGTGAATTAAGAGCACAGCTGCACACTGGAATGCCGGCCCAGGGCTTTCACTCACACACACAGAGCCATGCACAGAGAATTTTGTGCTTGAAACACACAGGCACGCCCAATAATTCAGACTATGGTGTCCATAAATATGACACTCCCAACTCCTGAGCCTATCAATTCTCTCTTAATCGGGAACTCCCCTCATTCTCACCACCTAAAGCAGGGACAGAAAGCCCTGGCATGGTCCTGGCCATCAGAACGGCAGAGGAGACTGCTCTGGCTTCACTCCTTCTTTCTGTATGGGGGCCCTTGGTACCAGCCTCCTTCCCCAAGCTCCTGGAGAACACAGCTAACAGGGTCTCAGACCCTGCTGCCAGACATGACCATGGTGCTGGGGAGGTGCAGAACGACACAGCAGAGGGTCTCGGGGCAGGGCCTCTGAGGGTCTTTATTTTCCTTTGGATCCATGCCTGGAGTCCCTCTAAGCTTCCACCCATAACTTGGCTTCATTCTGTTCCTGTGTTGTGACCCTGGGAGTTGGGAACAGAGAGATGGTGGGGGTGGAACTTCATGGGCTACTAGCTGTCCTGAGCAGGGCACAGTGCTTGCCAGGGGCACAGAAGTGTGGGTGGCAGGAGGGTGGCACTTGGGACTATGGTACTTTTTACTCCATGTACACAGATCCTAGGGAGGAACTATCTCTGGGGTTGTCAGAGGGCTGTGCCTTTCCCAAGGACATTTGCGGGGTCAGCAGGGGCTGTATTGAGGGAGGAGACACCTTTCCCATCCAGCTCAATCTAAGGGGCTTCCTTTCCCTGCAGGACTGCTATGGGACCCCAGCACTTCCACTCCTGGTCTCTAGGTGGGGAGTGGGTAGAGTTGTGGGTTCTACCTTGAAGATTGCAGCCCCCCCAGCTCAGCCTGCCCTGCCATGTTGGAGCCCCCTGACTGTGACCCACTGAGTCTTAAATCCAATTTTTTTTTCTTTTTTGGGTGGTGCGGAGGTTCGAACTCAGGGCCTCACACTTGTTAGACAGGTGCTCTTACCACTTGAGTCACTCTGTCAGCTCTCTGTTGAGTCTTAGCTGCTTGCTGAATGCAGGCCACAGAGCCTCAGCTGTGGCCCTGTCACCTGTCTCTACCTGCTCAGCATTGCTGCTTTTCTGGGGTAAGGTGAAATGTGGATTGATTCTTTGTGCCCACCCTGCCCTTCAGAGGGGCACAGTAGGAAGAGTAGGGCTTTAGAGTAGGAATGCTGGCTTCACCACTTCCTGGCTGTGTGACCTTGAGCAAGGGACATTGTTGACATTGTTGTCTGAGCCCACATAGCCCTTACAGCAAGGGAGTGATGTGAAGATCGGTCTGATGATGCAGTCAGCCCCTGGACAGCTCCTGCCACAGACTAGGCAAATGACATACATGTATGAGTCTCTCCATTCTTGGGTGCACCATTTTCCTTCATCCTCTTCTCCTCCTGGCCCAGCACAAAAGAAAATGCTGCATGGATTGAGCAGGTTGGGAGAAGAGTGACTTCCGTATCACGTGACTACTGCTCAATCTCATCGTCAATATTACAGAGATGTGAATGTACAGTCGTGTGCTGATAACTGCTAATCATTGTAGTTGTTTGGTGCCAGGCCTGGCATTCTGGAAAAAAACTTATATTGCCATTTATAATGCTTATAGGCATTATTAACTCCTATTATGTTGAAGGATACAGGTTTACAGAAGCTGCAAGGTCATCCAAGGTCAGTGGGACTGAGCCTCAAGTTCAGGACTGACTTAGATGTGAAGCGGTTCTTAGAAACCAACCCCTCAGTCAGCTCTGTGCTTCTCTGTCCCTCAGGCCCCAGTCCTGCAGTCCTGGGTCCCCCTCCCTCCCTCTCCAGGCCCTTGACACTCTCTGTTCACACCCAGCGGGGTTGCCCCTTTCTTTGTGGTCCTCACCCTGTGCCCCTCCATCTGCTGGGTTGGCTGTTTCTCAGGGACCTTTTTCAGTTGACTCTTCTCTGATCCTCCAGCCCTGGTAGCCAGTGGCATCAGACAGACTTGAGTCCCAAGCTTGGCGTGGCCACTTGTGTGTTCC